ACTAAACGATAAGAGCACCAACGTTGATGCGAGTGCCCGGCCATTTGAGTGCGGACGCTTGTAGTGGGCGGTCTGGATCGGCATGTTGCACCTTGATTAGGCGTTATAGCGGTACCCTTGAGGGCTCAATGCAGCGCCAACTCGGGACCAAAATATTCTTTCAAGCCAGGAGCATTTACCCTTTACGCCTTGTCGATTTATCATGTTACTTGCCTCTAAAGCCGCTCAAAAAAGCCAACCTAAGTATAGCTTCTGAGATGCGATATGCACTAACTGGGATCAGCAGATTCGTGTCCCTCCCGAGTAAAGTCTCTTCCGATTACCTAGCTTAAGTATAGCTTTTGTGCGGGTTAGTCCGCAAACTATGAAATGCGGGTTCGATCCCACCTGAGGTGGTCGTTTAAACAATATTGAGCCCTCGGCGCAGTTCGTCCTGGTGGGGTACCCATGGTACTCAGCCAGGCTTGTTCAGTCCACCCTGCGAAGACCTGTAACCAAAGTGGCTCACTTGAACAATCCCCTGGCTTCGCAGGAGTTTGAAGGTCAGACCAGAGTGAGACCTGTTCCTTATCATGCACTAACAGAAGAAGGAGTTAGCTGAAGTGCAAAATGCCTCCTCTTACCTGTATAGCGCCAATTATTCTTGTGATGTCTAGTAGTACTGTTGGTATGGAGCTCATAAGGGACATCTTTCCGCTAACTCACTATGAGTGTGTTAATAGAGAGCTAGGTGGGGCGCTAGAGTCTCGATTGCTGACTGCAAATATGGAAACCAAAATCGGTACCTGCATCGCGCAGGCGGACTCTCCAAACCCTATCGACATACTTAGGCCTTCATTCAAAGTTCTGCGGTAAGTTGACGAAGTTCTCTTGTTGGTTCTGACTAAAAGACGGTTCAGAAAACGGCTCATTACTCGCTTTCTCTGTTTCACATCCGCCTAGTTCCCTAAAGGAAACGGAGTGGTCTTCCTGAGGAATTTTGGGCTCAGTTCGGCCTGGTGGGGACGTTGTGCTCGTTATCGTCAAACTGAGCCCATGCTTTCACTGAAGACGTGCGAATTCATGTTAAACCGTGAACAAGAATCAGAAGAAGAAACTATAGGGATTCAAAATGGGGGGTGAAATTTAACAGGAACTGGCAATGCCGCTCACCTCTCCCCTCCCCCCGGCTAACTCCAAAACCACCGAATTCTGCAGCTTCGTGATTCTTTATTCACAGATAATCAATTCAGTAAAATGAACTTTCGGAAGAAACTCCCAGGTATTACTTTACTGTAAGTAACCGGGGCTCAAACAGAAGTTGGGAGCATCACGCAAGGCATAGAAAAGAACCAGTACTGCTGACCACTGAACATGGAGCTAGATGCTGAAACTATGGCCTATCAGCAATTTGTAGCTGAGCTGTCTGGTACCTGTCACAAACTTTAGATAAGACAATTCATCCTTGGCAACAAGTTACGACAGCTACACGACGGAATTCACAAGAGGAATCGCCTCGCAACACGCACGCCAACGACAACACACTTATGTAATCCACTACACGAAAAATTTCGTAGGGCAAACAAACTTTGTTCCCGTGAAATGGACAAATCAGGTGGGTAATGCTCTTCTGGGATAAGCCACGCACTGCACTTCCATTCGGGATCGTAGTGGCCCACACTGCGACTTGTGTGGACCAATCAATGCGCCAGTCAGTGCTTTTATCCTCCCAGACAAGCCTGGCACCAAACAACCTACCCCGGAACAATGAAAGAGTTCCGTGTGACTCAGACCGAAACCATTCCTTGGTCTTATACAGGGACCGGGAAGGTGATAAGCGGTGCTACTTCCCACTGCTACCCTTCCACCCATTACGGTACTGTTTAAAGAGCAGAGCCTTCGCCTATCCCATGTCGGAGCGACTTATCCAATGAGAATGGCCTATAAATTAACATGCGGATGCCAGCCGGGAGAGAGGTCGCAGTTTTCATCTCCCAAAAGAATCTGGTCCTGAACATTTCATTGCATGCTCCGCAGGGCAGAAGCGTTGCCAGTTCTGGAGGGTAGCCAATCCGAGATTCTATGAGACCCCTGGATCGCGTGGATTTGATGAAGCCATGGAACGCAGCGAGTGGGTATGTGCCAACCGACCGGCCACGTTGTTGCCTTCTCCAGCTCAAAGTTCTGCTTCTCATAGCAATTGGAACGATCCACCTATCCGTTTGCCCGACAGTCTGACCAACACCATGTTATCAACGCCGATCAGCACGCAGAGAAGAAATACCCATTTTCCCTGTAATTCACTTTTATTCGGCCAGAAGTCCGTGTGAGCAATGCACACAAAAAGGATTACAAGAAAGCAGTGGATACGATATGTCGGCGCCCTCTACAACTCCCATATATAGGATAACTTGCATTTCAGAACGCCGACCTATGTTTCGAATGGTAAGTGCGAATGACATGTGCGCACCATCGCAAGGAATGAGCAGCGACCGAAATATCTATTCTATAGCTAATTTCAAAACTTATTTTCCGATACACGAGTCTTAACTTCCCCAGCCTCTCACAGTCATTTCATCTTTGACCATACTCCGCTGACGAGGGCAAACTTACAACTGCACTTCACTTGCAGATAGATCTTCTGAGAAATAAATATTCGTTCGGAAATAAACATCCACCACCGCCATTCATTGACAAAAAATGCAGTAAGTGAACGCGCCAGAAGGCTAGAGCTGTCACTAAAATACAGTTTTCGCTGCCGCGGTGCTTGTGGCGAAATAGAATGGTTGTGAGAGAGTAAGGCTGTAACGATGCATTCGCATGCTAGGCACCCAATTCAACAAAAGCAGTGCTGCTGGCAGCCCGCGACTGACGCTCTCTGCGCGCTGCCATGCTCTCATAGATGCGACGGGCTCCTTTCTGTGCAAGTGTCAACTCAGCATAGCTAGGACATACTCTAGCAGTGCGCGCCGCTCGAAAGTAACGCTCCACAAACATACATTCCGCCTACCATAAATTTTCGGTTTAAAGAGTTGCTATCCGATGTGGCGCCACGTCTCGGCACAGTTCGGCGTCAGCGGGGGGGGGGAGGGATTCGCACTTTTGCTACTTCCCATCGAAGTGTCGACCTACCTAGATAGCCTCTTCCGAGTTGACATGTTTTACCACGTTGCCTTGACGCCTTGCTCCAGCTTCGCAAGAGTTCACAGGTTTCATCAGAGTGAATTTGTAAACCGGGACTAGTGAAGCAACGAAGGTGCAGAATGCCCCCCGTGCCGAAACTGGACATCCATGGAATTCTGCATACTTTTGCATACTTTATGTTCCACTTCATTTTACGACTTCCTGAATATATGAATGCAAATGCTATCCAATGCACTTTTTCCAACCTTTTCCTCGAAAGTACAAGGCACTCATCCGTAAGGAAACTCATATTTGCTCAGTAAAAGCATACATGGCCCCACAATAGGAAGACACCGTGCCTCGATGCTGATAAAATGAGAACATTGAACGACTGAGATCCTCCGTGTGAGTAACGTGGTTCTTCTTTTCAATCTCAGGCTCTTCACTTGAATCGTTTTGGAGAAAGGCCTTCAGCTACTTGGCCTTCTCTCTTCCAGACCACGCTCAGAGGTTCCTCAGCAAGTCGGGTCATACCCGAGTCCTTGGGGAAGAGGTCCCGCCTAATTTGCTGAGGCGGTCCGCGATGCGACAGGGCATGGAATTTCGGAAAACATTTCAGCCTTTCACTACATTTCACGGGTATTTCACTGTTTCTGGTGCATTTCCTATACCATTCCGGATCGACAAGATTCCCCCTGAGAGGTGGGGATCTTCCCCACTTCCCCCCTCCCCCGACCCCATGTTACGCCTTGTGACGTCACCTTCCTTCTAGTTGGAAGATGACGTCACAAGGCCTGAATACAATAGACGGAAGAAACGGCACTAGGCGATGGAGAAGGTAGTGGTTAACGAGCAGTTTTCTTAGTCATGTGTTCTATCCGACACCGCCCATCTCCTCAAGACTCCCCGTCCACGACCCGCGGGCGGGGGGGGGGGGGGGAATCACAAGATCAGCGCCCAAGTTATGTGGGCAGCTCGGATGACCACGGCAGCCACCAGCCACGATACCTGCAAACTACAAGGTCTGTGAAGGGGCGTGGATTGGATCGCAGCCAGAACGGCTTTTTCCACCAATGATGCCATCCCGGGCCCGAAGCAGTTAGTGGGAAAGGCTGCCTTGGCTGCGCTCCGAACCACGTCCCTTCATTTGCCCTACCGTTTGCAGGGTTCATGACTGAACCCACGTAAAGCACTGTGGACTAGCCCAACATAGTAATGAGCTCCAATGTATAGAAAACTAGTAATAACTAGATCGCGCTGTGTAAAGCCCAATGAAAACCTGAATCGATAAATGATCAATATCGATCAATATTTTATATCAGAAAATAGCTCAAATGTTTAGTATTCATCAAATTACAGCGAACCGAGCTAGCAATAAACCAGTAAGTTGAGACAATCATCATAACAACCTGAAGCAAAGCCATACAAATATGCGAAAATAGCTAAAATTGCACAAAATTGTCAAATAATTACTAGCTTGCAATGAGTGAAAGAGTTGAAGCTTTAGGAGAACAGATGTCAACAAAATGTATTTAGTGGCACAACAAATCACAAGACCTTATGAAAAACAAAGACGCTGTTCGACTTCGGAGGGGCATTATGCACTTTCCTCTCGTTCTTTCGTTAGTTCATGTTAATTAACAGGGGAGACTTGTAAATCCTTGTGAAGTCGCAAAACCTTACAAGAGAGCTACTTTGGTTAGAAGAATTTAGAGGTGTCCACAAGTGTAGTGGCTTCGCTCTGTAGTGGCTTCACTGTGCACAATTTGTTGCCCCCACCAAGCCGAACTGCGCCAAAAACAGCAACATGGAATAGGTCAAAGGCTTTCATGAAATACTCGTAATAAAAACCATTATAGACTAACCAAGAAAGCACTCAGGAAAAACCTGTGCTAAACTTATTTCACTGGCGGCTTTGTCTCGTACATATAGGTCCGAGTGGCGATACGTTCCTTTATCCGAGCCATTTCCTTACGGAGTAACGCCAACACGGCTTCATTCGCATCGGCACGATGATTCTTGCCGCTATCCTTCACTCGCTCCCAACGCTTCTTTTCCGACGGCTTTTCCGCTTTCCGTAGAAGTTTCTTGTAGCGTTTGGTCGCTTTCTCAGCCAATGACCGTAACTTACCCGAACGACGATTGGCTATTTTATATTGCTCGGTTAGTTTGGCCAACTTATTCGAAGCCGACCGTGATTTATCCCTATCAGATCGAGAAGCTGCCCGCTCTACAGCTCTTTTCGCCTTTTCAACCTTCATCTTCAACTTTTCGGACAGCTCTTTCGCTTCGTAGGCTTTTCCCTTCAGTTTCTCGGCTCGCGTCCGTGCCCGTTCTGCTTTCTCTCGAGCACGAACCGCATTTGATTTGGTGCTATCCGAATTGCCGCCTGAGGATGCCTTTGACTTGCCAGATTTCTTTGTGTCACTCAGCACTTTCGTTTGATTTTGCAACTGGACCAGCTGAAAAAAAGAGTTCATTTGACTGGACAACAATGACAAGACTTGACTTTTTAAAGAAGAACTGAAAAGTTCACTTGTCTCCGACTGCGTCAAACGTTGCAAACTTTTTATGTGGTCTTACTAAAAAGCTCAACGAGATCAATAAATTTCAAATGCTTAAAATGTTTGCAAAGGGCAACAGTCAAGTCATCCAAAACGTCAACGATCCTCAACACCAGAATGCTTTTGGATGCTAACGACATAATTCTTGGGAGCCACTAACACCTGTCCTATTGACTATGAAAAGATCACGTGTTCATATTTCAAAGCAAAAATCGCTTTGGTGCAGTTCGGCTGGGGTGGGGGGGGGGCATATTGCAGTTTCGCTATTTCCCATTTCTGTGTCGAGTCATCAAGTACAGATTAGTGGAATCTAGTGAGCTGTGAAGTCAAAGTTTGCACGAACTACTTGTCAACTCCTGTGAAGAATCCCCGTCGACCTCAGTGAAGCAAGGAAAAAGACAACGGGGGAAACCAAAGTGCCACCCCCCCTCCCCAAGTAGAACTGCGTGACCGCTTCGGTTTGCAATGTTCTCGGGTGGACAGAAATAACGAGCAAAGTGATTAACATCATCTGGAACTGATCAGGTGGTGTGGGGCGCTACATCCACCACGCCCAAGGAGGCGCTACAAATGTGCGCGGCCGTCGTATGAGGGCCTAACCGATTTACCTTGGGAATGTCACAGTACGTCCAATTGGAAAGCTGAGAAATATCAACCATTCCGTGCGTCACTACCACCTAGGCGTAGGAAACCCTACACATCATGCACGGGTTCCACAAACATCGGAAACGA